GCCGCCGGCCGCAGCCAGCCGGGGCATAATACGGTAAATAAATACGAGCATGGGGATCCGCGTGTGAACGAAGCCCCACTCCCCCTCCCCTTTTGCTTTCGCTCCCGAGCCGGCGCTTTTTTTTTCTTGAAATTTCCCTCTTAAAATGAAGGTGCGTGTTATACGCCGGTGCGTGTTATACGCCAATAAATACGGTATAATTTCTCAGGCTTTAAAATCCCAAAATTAATAGATTTCCCTTTTTATATTGCTCACCCATCAAATAAAACTTCAAAACAAAAACAACCCCAATTCCAAACCCAATATTCCTAGCATAAAAAAAAATCATAATCCCATAAAATCTCTGAAATGCTATATTAACTAATCATATAAATAAAGGACATAAGGCAATATAGCCCTACATTTTATTCTTTTTCATTTCATGATTTTCATAATACTGGGAGCTTATTCCTTTCCCAGCTAATATAAAACTAAAGCAGTATTTTATCCTTTAAAGATCTTTGTTTAGAGTTTCTTCTGATTCTAGAGAAATCATAAGGAGGCTTTTTGCTAATTTTTTATATGAAGCCGATAAGAAAACACTTCTCGCTCCCATTTATGTTCTAAAAAACTCAACCTTCCACAAATAAAAAATGGAAAAAATTGACACTGCATTTTCTGGTGATGCAGCCTTTGACTCTTTGAAGGACTGAAAGACCAAATTATAGCATTGAACCTTCTCAAACCTTGTTCACTGATGTTAATGCCATCTCTAATTGAGGCAAGGATCAATTTTTTCAGGTTGATATACCATCTTCTACCATATCTAAGGGAGAAGACTCTCTTATTTCCTCAATGCTAAGTTTATAGACATAATAATTTTACAATCTTTTTTGTGGCAGTCATTAAGAGAACCAGTGGTTTGCTATGGATGTAGTTTTGTCGAAAACCAGAAGCAACTCTTAAACCCACATGTGATTGTGGGATGTTGCAATGGCTGTAAATGTGGCCGTGTTGAGCGCCCGAAGTTCGGTCACATGTCTGGAATGGCCCAACCGTCAAAAATTTGAATCTGGGTCATAAGTCCCCTTTTTCGCTTCCATCGTAACGTGATTGATTGTAAGCCGAGGAATACTTGTTCATCCTGTTCTGAATTCATAAATACGTATCATCATACGAGTGACATTGCCAATTAGGTTAAGCTCTAAAGAGACACTTTTCAGTAGTGGTTTATTACATATGAAATGGTGTTAGTATATTTCCAGTAATAAGCAATGGCATTGTACTTTCTTTGGCCTTTTAAACTTAATTCTAATTTGTAATTTCAGTGCAACTCGTTATCTCTGAGATTTCCCCCCCTAATTTCTATTCTAAATTAACATTGCTACACTTTTTTAACCTCTTCATTTTTGTTGTACAGTGATTTTTTAAAAAAAAATTATGCTCACCTTATTAGCTGCCTCTTAAGTTGTTCCACAAATAATCCATTTTCATTTTCTAATTATTTAGCACTGAATAACTCTTTGCTAACAGAATGAATGACATTTATCTATTTCATAAGCTAACTTGGGGGATTCAATTGATCTTCAAGGTAGGATTATAAATATTGTTAATATAAAAAATGTAGAGAGTTGGCATATTTCTCTTATAGAAAAGATATTTCCATACTATACATTTTAACACAACAAATGTTTTAACTTTCCCCCTTTTCTTTTTTCTTTTTAACCAGGTGTGATTATTGTTCCAAGTGCTGGTGTTGGTATTGTCCTAGGAGGTTACATTATAAAAAAACTGAAACTTGGTGCAAGAGAATCTGCAAAACTAGCAATGATTTGCAGTGGAGTATCTCTGTTATGCTTTTCAACGCTCTTCATAGTTGGATGTGAAAGTATTAATCTAGGAGG